ATGCTCAAACTTCACTTTCTTAATGATGGTATGTAAAGCGGGGTAAACCATATTGTATAACAGCAAAACGAAAAAAATAATATAAGAAGCAAGACTAGGTGGCTGACTGCTCCCAAACGGCGTTCGCATTTTCAATATAGGCTTTTACCACTCGTGCAAGTCACGCTTTTCCACAGTGGTGTGAGAGAGGACAGAATGTATTCTTTCTCACAACCGCGGAGACAAGAACAAACGAAGAGTATGACCATTTCCACGCCGAACAAAGCATCTCCGAGGCGACCACCAGGTCTCTGCCAGCCGTCGGATGGCTGCTATGTGCCCGAGAGCGCCCTCACTGGTGTGCTCTCACATCGCGACACTTTCACAGCTGGCGGTCGCTGTCACCCCTCCCAGTTCTAGTACACCTTACCCAAGTCTCCAGATTCTGAGAGAGCACAGAAAAATTGGAGAAATGCGTAAGTAGTGCTGACAACCATTTTTGATAGGTTCACTGTGAGTATGGTCCTTTAGGCCAGACAATTAGTAAAGAGTAGGCTACATAAAAGTTTCCTGACGTCTGATAGATGCCGTATGAAGAAAACAACAGAAGTTGCGGGTAGCTGGTGACTGAGAGCTTCACCACAACCATGCACCTGCCATTTTGTCACGTCTCGTACGAGTTTTTCCCAGGTATGCCAGCTCCCCTACAGCCCAGACATGGCTCCCTATGACTTCTGGCTTTTCCGAAAGTTGAAATTGCATTTGAAAGGCAAAATATTTAAGACTGCTACTATGATGAGAGAGGACACGACGAGGCAGCTCCCGAAAGAGAGTGTCACAGGATGTTTTGAAAAGTGGAAGGAATGCAGGCATAAGTGTGCGAGCTGCTAAGGGGAGTACCTTGAAGATAAAATAGCATTGTCCTAAAGCGCCTACATTTTATAAAAATTAAATGGCTGGATAAACAGGTCTGATACAATGTAGAAGTAGCGACGGCATTAGTTTCGCCACAAAGCACTCCCGTATATTGTAAAGTGCACTGGAGCGAATTTTACAATATAAAAACGATGAATAACTTTTCATTTCTACAATATTTGATAATATTGAGGTGGTTATTGCACCTTATTTCATCTAAAACTACAGCATACAATGTAGATATAATCATGGCATTAGATTTCCAGTGATGTGATTGGCCACAGCCGTTTTGGAGCACCTTTTGGAGCAGCCAAAACGGTGTTTTGGAGCAGCAAAAGTGGCCTTTGGAGCAGGCAAAACAGTGTTTCGGAGCAGCAAAAGTGGCTTTTGGATCAAATATTCTTAAAAAAATAAACATATTCCTTTTAAGTGCTGGACGAACAAAGGACACTTCGCTCGCCGCAATAAACGAATTATGGTCAAGTTCGACCACCTGGGGGTCTTTCAACATGTAACTGAAATGCCAATGACATGACACATTTTACAATGCTTCAATTAAATTATACATATATATGTAACGTTATAGATAAATAAGATCCAAACTGCACATATTAAAATTTATTTGAAAATGACACTTATTAGTAAATATCACAGCATTAGGTTGACTACCGTAGTTATCTAATAAATGGAAGCTCTCTCCGACTGATGAAACACGTAACTACTGCAGTGCAATTCGAAATTGTACACAAGACAAAGATGCATTACGACTAGCGGGTGCTTTTCTTTCCGCTTTTCGAAACTTTCTACAAGGCTGCTGCAAGCCTCGCTTTGCCTTTGGCTATGCTCTGTTTCACCTTATGATGTACCGGAGGAAAGGCTACAAGCGCGAGCTTCTTGCTCAGGGCACATCTCGGCGGCACAAGCTCTCGTGCAGTAAGGGCAGCTGCCAATGCTATGAGCTCGCGCTTCTAGCCTCCGCTGTGGTACAACATAAGGTGAAACGGAGTATAGTAATGAATTCCCACTTTCAATGTCCCCAAAGAGACATTTAGACATCCCACAAGTGAACAGTGCTGTGGCCGCTGCCGAGCAATTCCGAAAAAACACTTGCCACCGTTTTACTGGTTCCCGACGTGCCAGATTTTTGTCCAAAGTAAGCAAACGTAAAACAATGGGTTGCAAGCGCCCCGGCTGGAGCCTCTGTCGTGCGGTCATGTTCGCATGCACATGAGGTCAACTTCGGCAGACTTGCATTTGCACGTGCTTCGTCGCGCGAGCGGAGATGGCTGTTCGATCGAAACAGACACCATGCCACTCCGCTCCGTCGTCAACTGGTTCCAAAATTGTGCGCAAAATGTAATTGTTCAGCATACGACAAAAAACAGCAGTCCAGCAGCACGTGCTTGCCAGGCCGGCAGGCGAGGTACAAGCTAAGCACACAGAAAAAAGGGACCATCGCGAGTCAGGGTCAAAAAGTACTTAGAGTGCTTTGTACAACGACTGGAGCACTGAAACGACAACACACGCCCGCGTCTATCGTTGAATTTTTTTTTAAAAAGACGCGAGACGAGACACTTGAACAGCATGAACCACATGAACGACGGGAGCGTGAAACGAGAGGTGGCGGGAAAAACTATGCAAGGCCGGATGATCGATTGATACAGGGTACTTTTTGTTGGGCGGCCGCTTGCGCTACCTTGCTCATGCACGCTCAATCACGGTACTCAGTTTAGTTTCGGTTTTGAAAGACGACCACAATTGGTCTTTTGGCGCAGGTTTGGCGCAGATTACCCATATATTGGCAAAATGTAGCAGGATGTAGCAGGGTTAGCCCCTTTGCGCAGTTTGGCGCAATTGGCGCAGCAATCACATCACTGGATTTCCCACAAAGCATTTCTGTATTGCAGTGACGTGAACTAACAAATGGACGATATGAGCAGCTTTTAATTTTTTCTAACATCCAGGTCTTCAGATTAAGGAAAGGCTGACTGATGTTGCATATATTGTGCAATGTGTGACGTCACTGTCCTGTGGGTAAGTATTTGTTATGGCACAGACTGGTCTACCGCAGCCCAAATGCCTGTTTTATATTTTCAGAATTAGTATTCGTTAAGCGAACATGCTCCTCAGTTCCCTATGAAAGTCAATAAATTTAAGTATTTAGGAACAATTTATGGTAATGCCTTGCATTGAAATGCTAACACTAGTGAGTAATTATTGCAGTGTCTGCTTAATTCTGTTTTTTCTTCTTAAAGTACCAATAATAGCAATATAACCAGTTGAGTTTTTTTTTTTTTTCACGGCTAAATTAGCACTGTCATGGTGTTGGCACGAAATGCTGGCACAGGCATGTTCTTTATACAAAAAAATGGTATATGTATTGGGTCTTCTGTCGCCCCAGTGTTGTGCGATATTTATCTGAGCGAAATGGATAAATGTATATCTGGGTCTCTTGAAGATGTACATGTGCTTAAGGTTTGTCGATACGTTGACGATTTTTTAATTGTTTTAGGTGATTTGACTGGGACAAATGAAGTTGATGTTGCTTCGAAAATTATCGACATTTTTAATAGTCACTCGGGAGGTTTAAATTTCACTTGCGAATTTGCAAACCAGAATTGCATTCAGTTTTTAGATTTACAGCTTGATTTCTCTAGGCAACACTTGTGCTGGATGTACAACCCACAATCTAAAAAAAGTCTTTTGTCATTTGAAAGTGCCCACTCCAAACTTATAAAAAGAGGAATAGCTACAAATTGCTTACTGGCTGCCCTCACAAAAAGTTGCGAACACAAAATGTCAACTGCCTTCAATCAGCAGTTTAGGAACTTAAAATCTGCAGGGTACCCTAACATGTTACTGTCAAGCGTTTGCGAGAGCCTATTACAGAAACTTAAAGGATCACAGAATAAAAAACATACTTTAGAACAGATCAACAAAAAAAGAGTGCAAGTTGTGCCTTATATGCACAGGGTATTGCATAATTTGAAAAAGATAGCTGGTAGATATGGTATTAATCTCCTTTTTTCGGCTCCCTGCAAGCTTGGCAAGATATGTCCTATGCTTACAAGGAAAAAAATTGATCAATGCGCAAAAAAACATGCCGTCACGTACACCAACTGCAGAAGTGGGGTTGTTTATGAAATTCCTTTTAGCTGTGGCCGAGTTTACATTGGACAAACGGGTCGATGTTTCAATGAGAGAGCGCGCAAACATAATCTGTCTGTACGAAGCAATTCGGGTGGTCATCTTGCTGAGCACGTTAAACGATGTGGGTGTAAACCACTTTTGAATATGACGAAGTTCCTAAAGAAAGCAAAGGACAAGACAGAGAGGGAAATTATAGAGGCGTTTTTTATCAAAAAAGCGGGAGACAAGTGCATCAGCATGCCCTCAATGTGTCTCATTGACAAAGAAATATTTTTTCTTGATGGTTTTATCTAAAGAACGGCGCGTGGTAGGCATATAATCTTAAAGTATAATTTTTTTGTGTGTTTTGGGGTTTTTATGCTCGCTAGCAATGGTATATATTGCTTGGTTGATGATGAAATAAACTTAGTTGGAAGTAAGCGCCAGTCCTGTTGTATTTGTGCCTTCTTTGTCCTTGTCAAGTTTGCGCTTTTTTAATCATGTCTAGTAAGAACCAACTAGCCCAAACAAAAGTTGTTTTACTGGCACAGGCAGTTGAAATACTAACAGAGGAAGTATGTCGTAGTATTGAATTCTGTTTTTAAAATTTATTAGTCGAAGTAAGTTTCTTTATCAACCATTATCTTAGTTTTCATATTTTGACCGAACAACCATTCATCCCTTTGCTTCACCCAATTTTAAGCAACCTTGAGGTAGCACGTCTACCATTTTACAGTAGTCGAGCTCGAGGCATTTTATGTGCAGTGCTCTTTCACAGCTTACACAGGTTCGCAAGTAGCACAAACCGAAGGACTTCTTGGTTTACCATCAGAAAACCAACACAACGACATAGCACGAGCACTTTGCAACAATATCACAAACTACCTTAGGACTGGGATTGCCGAAATTATTCGAACCACTAGTTTATGAGGCCCAGTTTTGTATAACGCCACAAAGGCAGGAAAAACAGCACTCACCGTGCAGAAGGCGACAGGCTTAAGAGAAGACATCAAATGACATCCGGCAGCAAAGTGCGACAGCTGCGTCATCAAAACGATGTTCACGGATGCACCTCGCCACCGATACCCCAGACAAAGGCAAGTTTCTCCTTTGGACGACCAGCTCGGATCCATCCAGCTGCGTCAGAGAAAGTAGTCAGTCCAGACACGCAGCACCACCAAGCACTCTATCAGACTGCCCGTTCGTAATCACGTAATTAGGGTTCCAGGTTTTTGGGGTTTATTTTGTTTCCAAATTCTGGGGCATTTTTCGGGGTTTATTTGTGCCCAGAAAATCAACATGTTTGCAGTATCAATTTTCAACTTCAACTTGTTGAAGTAAATAGAGCACAAGATAAAGATTCCCCAACCTCCAGGAAAAATATGCGCGATACTTGCAAAACGTCCCCATAGCAGTAACAGAATTAGACAAAATTAGGTTTTGAAAAAAGAAGCAACCTCACAAACAGTTCGGAGGGGTCTGTGTCCCCGGGCAATGCATACTAAAACTGCAGATAAAGGTGTTTTTTTTTTGTTGTTGTTGCTTTGTGAGGTTTGTATTTTTTTTTTTTAGTCCTGAACAGCTCAGATTTAGGGTTTCTCGGTTTTGATAAAAGTGGCTCGAGGGTTGATTTTCAGGGTTTGTCTATATTTACCATACAAAATGTATGCACTTCCCAGCGTATGGCACTTTACTACGTAGTAATTCTTCCCTGGTTAGTAAGAAATGTTTTGCACGTTGCATCTTTTGTTAATAAAAGGCATGCGAGACTTCACAGGTAGCGCCATAGCCTCTCTCCAATGCCGAGGAAGCTCCTGTGTTTCACATGCGTCTTTCAAAAACACTAAGTCTGTCAGTCACGGAGTGGAGTTTTTTACGACTGCCTCTACGTTTCTGACCGAAGCACAAACAAGCTCCCGCCAAATATTTCGACCATCTGATGAAAATTTCAATACACTAGAGATATTTTTTCATTCGCTTAGTTTGCATTCACGTGATAGCTCGTTTATGAACGGTGAACTGAGCAATTAGACCGTCTGATTTACACTTTTACACGAAGCAGAAGCTGATGTACAGGACATTCTCGAGCGTACTTAAGTGGTAGATTTATCATACTCAGAAATATGGTTTCAGGAAGAAAAGATTAAGCCTAAAAAACCTGCTTCTTCCCAAAACACACAAAAGAAAACAATAAAATAAATTGATGCTGGTATTTACAGGTGGCACAATTAAAAGTAAAAAATGTAAAAGCTTCTTAGAAATGAACACCCAAAAGCACGTCCAGCAGATCCGAGCATGCGTGCTACCATCTGTGAGCAGCGATGTCAACCAGAAGGTATTTGACATTTTCCTACCTGAACATGAAAAAGGTTTTTCTAGGTTTAATTTATTTTTTTCTTGAAGTCTACACTTCTAAAATTTGGGTATAATATACAGAAGCAAATGGGACCTATTAGGACAGTCACAGTGGCCACAATATCAAAGAGCAAACAGGCATGAAAACCAGCTGTTGACATAGTTATTCCCAAGCAAGATAAAAAAAAATCACAATTAAAAAAAAATTATATACATCAGATGGATTTAAATTATATTAATATTATTTAAATTGCTACAGCCGTAAAATAGTAGTCACTGGTTGTACAGGAAGTTCCCCAGAAAAGAGAACAGTATTTTTTGGTCCAGGTAAATAAACTTTACATGCAGAAAGCTGAAACTGTGCGAGATTGTGACGCCAGCAGTTGGGATAGAACACGAAAGTTAGAGAACATGATGTGACCTGCATCAAAAGATAATGGAGGAAAAACTAACTTTTTCTACGAGCCAACATCCCCCTAAGCCTGATATCGTAGAAACAAGGAGCGACAGTGTGGACACTTGTAGGACTTATATCAGAGAAAAAAACTTATCAGCAAGAAAGGGGCTATTGTTTTCTTTCTTGCCGAGAATACTGTTTTCTTTCTTACCCGCCACACGGTCTGCTTGATGCCCTTCGAGGATTATCTCTGTTGAGATAATTTCGGGAAAGCCCTTCGCGGTCTTCGCGAAAAATAGCTGATCGGGTGCGGGGTAGGGGCCAAAGCCGACTCGTCCGTTCCTTTGCTTCAGTGCTTTGCAAAAAACAAGCTCTCCTCAAAACGTGTCCTGAAGAAGCAGACATGAAAGCAGATGCTGCTTGTGCGCTGCTCGACTACAACATCGCTACGGCGTGTGTATAGCGCGTATGTTACAGCATCCACATGCATGACAACAACACAAAGTTTTCATGCAAAATGCAGGATCACTGAACTGAACAACTCGAAAGATTAATAAAATGCATAATGTAAGACTGCAATGCTCGTAAAAGGTAGAGGTCATTCAGCGCGTTAGTAGTACAGACGCTGGGTGGGCACCCAGTGGGGATTCATATCGTTCATGAGAGTCAAAGGTTCACCTGTACATTTAAAGACATGCCTGTACTTCTGGCATTAAAAGTTGTAGCATCTAAGCTGTACCAACCTGCACCACCACCAAAACAGTAGGCTCGTTCGTTAACTGCACCTCCTGCACCGGTGCAAAGAAGTGTAAGAGAGTGTACTTCCGGCTTGCGGTATGTGTATTGAGATACGGCCGGAAGTACACCGCTTTACTTTTCTGCACCGATGCAAGAAGTGCAAGTAAATCGAACGAGCCCACCATCAACACAAGTGGGCTATGAAGACCCCAGAGATAAGGAACCTCGGCGACAAAAGAAAAAGCAAGGAGAGCAGCAGCGGTTGTCCGTAATCAACTGGGTTTGTCAGTCCTTGCAATGTGACACGATCAGACACTGTAAAGCTGCCTTAGCCGCTGTGGCGAAGCACACGGAGTATGAATGTAAGGTTTCTGCAATACATGTATTATGGATGACACGTGTATTCCTTACCGGCAATCAGAGCCGTGTATTGAGAGAGTTTGGTCAATGGGAGGCGCGGGCAGAGTCAGGGCGTGTGGCAGAGTCAGAAAGAGGGCTTGGCATGCTCTCTTGACCAACCAGAAGCCGAAAAGAATCCCCTAGCGGTGGTAGCGGCAAACAGTTCTGATCAAAAGTCTATGTTCGTATATGGTTTTAATACACGCGTAAGAGTGAAGTGTAGTAACTCTTTGTGGTTGAAAATAGGGTGCGCGTGTTGCTTTGATCATGATCATGCAGAAAGATGTAAGAAACGAATGCACTGCGCAACTCTGTTTTGCACGGACGTTCGGACGGCAGATTCCCGGCCCTGGGCGCTTGGCGTACGGATCATGTCGATCGTTCCGCTAGTCGCACTCTTCCACCATCATTTTGGATTAACGTGATTGAAACATCACGTGTACCATATTTTCAGCCATTGAGAGTTACTCCAATGCAGTTATCAGGTTTGTTTCTCGCGACCACCGCCAGGGTATTATTTCCGGCTTCTGGTTGGTCACATTCGAATTTCTGAAGACGCCCTGGAACACGCCCAGTCCGCTTTCGGGCAATGGCGCCTCCTCATTTGTCTCCTATACTTCCCAACGAATGGCCAAACTCTCTACATTTACGGCTCTGCCGGCAATGAAGCACCGACCACAGACACGGCTCTCATCGAGGTTCTCCGAATCCCTATGGTGTATGTACACGGGCCAGAAGCTCCGGTGTTTCTCGGACAGCACCTTTGTGCACTCACACTCTCGGTGTATCACTTTCAGCAAAATCATCGCAATGGCGGCCGGCGAGCGGGACTATGGGAAGTGATGTCACCTCCGCTGCCTTCGGGATGAGCTACCAGTTGGGAGGCTATGCGAGACGGCGAGACGAAGCAGGACCGGAACATTGCCGCCTGTTGCGATTGGTCAGCGCCACGCCACTGGCCAATCCCAGAAGGTGGCAATGTCCCGGTGCCTTCGTTCCGTATTGCCTCTTGCTTGCCCGTTTTTTCACGAGTTACCTTTGTCTCCAAGGCGGCCGACAGGTTTAAGTCAGAGCATAACCCCCGTCAAAGATGGAGCAGTAACAAAAGGCACCAAGGCAAAAAAAAAAAAGGCAGAAAGTAACAATTCTTATGTGACTTCTGCCGGAAAGGCTGTTGCCATAAAACCTAGAAGGAACGGCGGCCGAATGGGCTAACGCGTCTCAGCTCGGAGGGTGGAGCGAAAGCTTGCGCTGCAGAACCCCCTAGGTTCGATTCTCACCTCCCGCCCATTTCGATCTGGATGAGTTTCGCACCGGCACGCGTTTGTGTAATCACTACCCCGTGGTACACATTAAAACCCCCAGGCTAGCGGTTCTACTGCATTGGATAAACTTCTCATATAAAGCTGAGAAACAGGCCACTTAAATCTGTCTAAACATTTTTTTTTTTTTGCGCATTTGTTTACGCGAAATGCTTATTACTGCTGTGCTCTTGTGTTGGTGAAGCGGAAATGTGGGGGACAGGTGGCCGAGTTCGTATGTGGAGCCTGAGCTCGCCCTGCAGAACGCAGGACTGGGTTCGATCCCCGCTCCGCGCTGAGTGAGCGTCGTTCCGGCATACGCTCGAAAAGTAGAAACTGCGTCTAAACTTCTCACCTAGAGCGTGAGCCAGTGTCGGCCCTCTCAATTGACGCCGAAAGATGCGAGACGCTGCGATAACCGTACTGAACTAGCGCACAGCGTTTAAATTTCTTACCACGATGCGCCGGGGTTCGAAGCAGAAACTCGATTGTTGCTGTCAGTAGAGCGGCGTCGGAGACACTTGACAACGCTTCTTCGACGATTGCGTCCCGACGTTACACAGCAACGGGACACGATGCCGGAGCACAGCGTACACGCAGGGTGTCTAAAACAGCACAAGGGCAAGCAACAAACGTTAACGAACCGAAGCCACCGAAACCGCGTACGAGATCCACGAGGAAAGGCTGACGGTTTTCCGACAGACGGCGGGAAGCAACGCAGGGGCTTGGCTTGGAATGGCTGTCCACCCGGCATGGTACCGGATTCCAGCAATCAAACACGAACCGAAACCATTTCATTGAGGGACAGAACCAATATTTCGATTTCAAATTAGCAGTAGAGTAAAGCACGCAGGCAGAACCTACATCTTGATGGATAATAAAGCGGTCGTGCGACCCCGCATAGACCACATCAAAATCGGTGCATGTTTATGCGTGCTTTCTCACTCAACATCAGAAAACCTCGTATCCCGACGATCGTCCGATCGTTTTGACGGCATCCCCCGCGAGACAGAGCAGCCTTCAAGTTAGAGAAAGTGCGAGCGGCAGAAAAGGAATGCGGCCTTCGATTACCAAGTTTGCGGGACGCATTTCATAACGGCGAGCGACGGCACTTTTCTACCGTTGTTTACTTTCACGCACGCCTTTGCATCGGCTGTTGCCCGTTCGTGGTGCAGATGGCCTTTGCCTTTCGTTACATCACGCCGTTTCCACCCTTCGAGCGCACCTTTGGGGCTCCCGGCCGAGTATCGGCGATTGTTGCGAAGTGAGCCCGGCAAGACGGCGATCGGTCGGCGGCAGCTCCCGTGTGCAAGCTCGCCGAGACGCCGCCACCGGGGCATCGGTTCGTGCCGTCCGCGAGACGGTAACCTTTGCAAGGAGCGAAAGTAAGCAGGCAAGTCGGTTAGGAAACATCATATAATAAACTCTCCGTTATTTGATTAGTCCTTGTCTCGAGGTCTAGATTATGACGGTAACCTTCCGTTGCTTACCAGTATTTCGCAAGATCATAACAATTTTTCTACAAGCGACTCCTAGAGCCGCTCGTTAATTTTTGAAACATGCAATTCAGATTGTTTTTTTTTTTGTTTTTGTTTTCAAAACTTTGTCGGCGGCATATGGAAACTTTCTGCTCGTAGCGCGATCGCACCAATGCCGACAAATTCTGCACGTACTGGATAAACGTCGTCATCGTAAGCTCAGCATGTTTTTCCAAGTTTACGTTTAACACAACTAGGTACCTTTGTTGAAAATATGGTGCATGTCAGCGCATGTCCTGGCCGTTAGCGGCATCCTATGCCCTGGTAAGCGCAACCGCGCGGTGTGAAGTCAACCACCAGTATGGTGCGGGGCCCCGTTCTTCCCTATCGTGACGTCACTTGCAAGGCATGTATTCGCTCTTTCTCGAATGCGCGAACAGCCTTCAAACGTGTCTGGTGTCTGGTCCCGAACTAGACGACGGGTAATTCACTTCAATGGTAAAAAATGCCGAGTAAAAAAAAAGAGGAATTGTACACGAACCGGAAGTGTGTCGGGGCCACCCGCTAGAAGGCTCCACCGAGTTTGTTGCTAAACAAAAAAGGGCAAATAGTCGCTGACAAAGTGAGAAGGGTTTGGAGGAAGTTGTCCCGCCTCCAGCGCGAGTTTCTCTGCCTTCGACGACGCAATTTGGCATTTGGACTGGAACGCGTGCTGGGGGCCGGGCTTTCTCGCCCCGCCGTTCTTGCTCTGTCAGTGACTATAGTTTAGGCTGCAAAAAGGATGCTGTCTAGCCGTTAAACGGTCGGTTGTTGTAGCGTAGGAGGGCATTTGAACGCTGGGTAGGCGCGCCGTCGGTTGACGCTCTATTGCGAAAAATAAAAAAGAACCAAAAAAAAAAAAAACGACGAAGTAGCTTTAGTGAACAAAAGGTAAGGGCGCAAACGAGCTGGTGGTGGTTAAACATTTCGACAAAAACCCCGAGACTGGGACAAAAAGGGACGGACAAACACAAAGTCTTCTGACAACGAAGGTCAAACACAAAACACACCACTATGTCACGAGACTGGGGCACGGCAAAATGGAATTTAAAGCGGTAAAAAAAGAAAATAGAAGGACAGTTTACGTTTAGAAATGTTGTCCGTCCCCCTTTTTTACTCCCGTTTTCTGCCACTTTGAATTTTCTTTTTCGTGCTCTAGTTCCAGGTTCATTATCGTGGCAAACTTCCAGCAACTTGCCCACACACTAACCGTACTTTCAACGAAACGCGCGTTGGTTGTGGCCCGTGTCCGAAGGCCCCTCGCTCAAGCTTGCTGGGAGAGCCCAGACAAAATCTCAGCTCGCTCCGAGAAAGCTTGCCTGCTTTCCAACTCACCTGCGTACTCACCAGTTGTGTGACCTGTTGTACTGCTTTGGTTTAACAAACCGAGAGCATAGAGAGCCGCGCAGCTGACTTCCCGAGAACTTTGGAATCACTACAGAGTATGAAAAATTAATCGGCTGGTGAGCTCCGCCGCAAGCCCAGCTAGGGTGACCACCCGTTCCGCGACTCGCGGGACTGTCCCGCATGGAGCGCGCGTGTCCCGCGTCCATGCGGGACACGCGCGGTATTTTCGGTATTTTCTTATTCACTGATGGCAAGGGGGTTTCATAGCCTCACTTTTTTTGCACTGCGAAGTGAATATAGATTTCACATTTAAATATTCTAAGCTTAAATGGTAAAACAAAATGGCTAGGTGGCGTAAGCTACCGCCCGATCCAAAGGGCTCAGCCGTATTCATCCATCCATCCATCCATCCAGCAAGAAATACCAAAAATCTTTAAAATGTCCGGCATTTGACATCGTCATAGCATTCACTACGCAAATTATGGCGCTTCCAAAGAACGGGCCACGGGATAGCGCGGAGGTCGCTGATAAACATGTGAATATCGATGGGATGCCATTTTCTATACAAGCACTGTGGGAAGCGACCGTCGTTCTTGCAGGAAAAAGACGCACATGTGCCGTTGTGCCTCTCCCCTTGATGGCAAAATATTGCGAGTGAAAATTGCTTGCCAAAAGTTGAAAAATAAACTATTGTAATTATTTGCAAATAATGCTGTCATGCGAAAGGGTTGTTTTGGAAAGCTTTCTTTTTAGTGTCACAAGGGTCGAAAAAACAGCCACTTAACCCTTTGTAAGACAGTGGGACCAGGGCTTAAAGCCTGGGGGGTCTCAGGGGGTCTCGAACTCCCCAATGATTTTAAAGCATGGTCTGAGACCCTCCTTCACAGCCCCAGCATTAGTGAAATCAAAATCATATTTTGCAATAAAATAGCTTGTTTTCAGGGATGTGACATTTGGGGATTGGCAATTTGAGGGTTGCAGGTACAGCGTGGGTATAGTCAGCAGTGGGGTTTATTTTATGTGCATCTAGTACATCTCGTCAGAACCCCCCCCCCCCCCCCCTCCCCCTACCTTTTTTGTAGGGACCCCCCCTGAACTTACGGGATACTTCAAACCCTGAGTGGGACACACATGTCCCACCTGTGAGAATTGGTTCAATTGAGTCTCTTCGGGTTCGTGGGACACCGGCGTCCTGGATGGATGGATGGATGGATCTGGCTAAACCCTGTGAATCGGGCGGTGGCTTGCGCCACCTAGCCATTTTCTCCTTTAGCGCCATCTATGAATGTCAAATGCCACTTTTCCTCAGTTTTCTTTATCTTCACGAGACGGCAGAATGTTGAAAACATGTACTTGCTTTTGCCATCGGTTTTCGAAACATGGATCCGTAGGTTCCCATTTTTCGGAAGTTACTTCCTTGGTCCCCGAATTGGAACTAAGTTGCCCTTTACGTTCTACGTCTTCCTAAGCATGTAAGGAGTAGGTGAATAAAGTATTAGCACATTTTAGATGGCCCATGGGTTTATATTGTTGGTGATGTACAAGCAGGTGTGAATTCGTTAGGCTTAGTAACAATCTTTTTACAGCCAATGCTGTAAAGGTGGCTCGTCATTCTTGCTGTTGCAATATTTTTTTTTTTCTAATAGCTGCCGGAGCTGATGAGGAGGCTTTAGAACTGCTCTTTAGCCTTCCGGACGACTCGGCGAGTGACGCGTCCGGCGACTCGGATGACGATTTACAAATGGCCTCAACATCAGCTTTGGCTCCAGCAGAGTCATCAGAAAGCGATGATATGAACGAACAAGCAGCGAAGAGGCCAAAAAAGACGTGCAAGCGAGAAAGACGTAGCAAGAAGGCGCGTGTACAGCCTGAAGCAGATGCTAGTCAGAGCGGCGAATTCAATGGGATGCCATCACCGTCCATGGTATGGATGGCTGGCTAATCTCAAGACATTCCTGAAAAGGTCACTGAAAAACCTCCAACATGCTCTCCTAACCTAAGCACTGATAGCAGTGCCTTTGACGCGCTTACTTGTTTTTTTGATGAAGAAGTGTGGACACTGTCCACACTTCTTCATAAAAAAAACAAGTAAGCGCGTCAAAGGCACTGCTCTGTGACAAATACTGTCCACTGGACAGTATTTGTCACAGAGAATAACCGGTAAGCTAATCAGATACGAAAAGCGAACTGGGGAGCCACTCTCAGCCAGTGAGCTCAAAGCCTACATAGGCATGCTCATTCGTATCAGTATTGGTTCCTTGCCCCAGGTCTGCCTGTACTGGAGCTCAGATCAGCTCTTCATTGTGAAGGAAATCTTTCGCGTGATACCCTTTAAGCGTTATCAATAAATCACAAGCTGTCTGCACCTCAATGACAACACGCAGCAACCAGAGCGGACCCCGCCAGGATGTGACAGGGGCTATAAACTGCGACCTCTTATCGAAGCCATCAAAAAGAATTTACGAAAAACATACAGCCCGTCCTTTCACGTCGCGGTTGATGAATCAGATTTTTTTCAATGGTCGTTCGGCACTAAAACAATACATGCCGGTGAAAGCGAAAATCAAACGGGGGTACAAACTTTGGAGCCTCGCCGACAGTAAGACTGAATACCTTTGCCGATTAGAAATGTATCAATGACGCAACGGAGAAAGGCCCACTGATCAGACTCTTAGGGGACATGTCGTTCTCTCGCTGACGAAGAGTATAGTAGAAGAACGATCCCAAGTTTTTTTCGACAATTTTTTTTCGTAAACCAAACTGCTCCTGCAACTACGAAAACGAGGAGTGTTTGGCTGCGGTACATTCAGGACCAACAATCGAGACCTGCCCCCAGAAGTCAAAAT